GTGTGTGTGTGTGTGTGTGTGTGTGTGTGTGTGTGTGTAACTTATGTTGTAGGCCTGTTTGCACTGAATTCTTTGCAAAAGTGCTGTAAAATCATGTATCATGGCTGTGTAGGGGTCACCTCGAGTGAAGAAACAAGATTTACTGCCTCGAAGCAGGCCTCAGACAGGCCTGATGAGATCATCATGTTGTGAACAACCACAGAGTTTTAACCTTGGGCTGGCGCCCTGGCAAATCTTTTATCTTTCATTCTCTGACTCATCTCTAAGCCTGAGGGCGGAACCAAAGATCGTCCRTTTYTTTTWCTAACCCGGACGGCTTTGAGCGACACACTCTTCTTCCTGACTCCAACCTAAGAAGAAAGCTGAGTTTTCTCTCCGGAGAAGAACTCAGTTTGGCTTTTTAAGTCTTAGCCCATGAGCCAACTAGGGAAGACTTAAAAGCCGGGACTCGGCACGCCAGCCGGTCCCACCCCCAAGGCTTCAAGCTCTAAAGTGTGTCTTCACCTCCCGTGGGGAGATTTTATTTTGAAAAGAAGGGACCGGATAACAGCTTGAATTTTTCTGGCTAGGACTGAAACGGACGAAAGTCACCTGAAAATAACACCTGTTCGCCAATGACCAGTAAGCGAGCCGATATTCAGTTCCCTGACTGATCGGAAGCGAGACAGCTCCTACCCAGAGGGTGCCTTAAGAAGACATCACCAGGTAAAGCTGACGTGTTCGGAGTGACATGTCATGTGGACCCTAAGCGCAGAAAAGACGTGCTGATCCGGTTGACCCACACTTTGATAAGGTAAAAGTAGTAGTAACATACTAAACTTACTTTCCTCCTTTTCTTGTTCTTATTTGCCAAAGCTTAAGCTGAAAGTGCCAGTAAAATTGTTTGGTTAACATCAGAACTGACATTTTACTGTTCTATATAAGTAATCTGAGTTCATGTGAATGGAAATTCGGACGCAGGATTTATCTCATTTAACTTGGACACTTTTTATAGGAATACCCACAATTAAGTGTAATTTATGATCTGTTCAATTTGTGCAAATAAATGATTGCATAGTCTTTTATGAATCAACTTGAACTCGTCTGAACGTTCACTTATTGTGTCACTTTTCACTTCCCACAGTCAAGATATTAAGTAATGAGAAATACCTTGGTAAAAGTTTCSTCATAACCTTGTGTATGAGAGATGTGGGAGAAGCTTAATACCACCTTAAGCTCACCCTCCTACAGCTGTTTATTTATTGGTAGCTGGAAAGGCCAGAGTCAGTCAAGGAGTTTGATGCCAGTCACAGAAGTGGAGAGGAGGATGAAGGGAGAGATGAGCAGGGTGAGGAGGAGCAGGAGGAGCAGGAAAGAGGAGCAGGAACCACTAAAAAGCAATGCCAGGTACATGTGCAATGTGCAGGACTGTGTTTATGATTGGTCTTTGTAAAATATATTAATGTCCTAAGATCTGAGGATTGTAGTATAAATCTAGTCTTTTTGACATCTGAAAGAGGCTGAAAATTCCACAATTTCCCTTCACCATGTATTTTTCTTTCTTCTGACTGATCTATAAATGAGTTTTATCCAGTAATTATTCACTCTCACTAGCCCGATGATCTAAACTGATTTTAATACTTTTGTGAATGTTCCCAAATGTGTATAAGGTAAAATAAATAAAATCTACATCTTTTTTCACAAACAAAGGAGTCTCATTCTGGATAAAAATACTTCACCAAATCTTTCAGGAGAAAGTTAAATGTTTGAGGGGAAATTATTGATCTTTTTCATGTTCTTGTGAAAAAGTCTATTTTGGACTAAAATGCTGTGGTCTTAAGAGGCTACTCCAGTCACACAGAATCATTAAGCCTATATACACTTCTGCAAGTTATGCTAGTGGCTTTCTGACTTCTTTTCTGGTGTTAATGAGCTATTTATAATCTTGATTATTACCGATTTTTTTTCATGCAGATAAAGCAGCACAAGATACAGGGATGGATGGATTGATGGATGGATTGATGGATGGATGGATGGATGGATGGATGGATGGATGGATGGATGGATGGATCTTATAAGTCTTGACTCAGTTACAGCATAGGTCATATAACCCTGAAGTCATTGAAAAAATGTGTAAAATAAGGAATGGATACTTTAATGCAATGCAAAATGTGTAATAATTGAAGAGGTGTTTTCTTACAGTTCATCGGTGAAAAAAGGGTACCTTTTTCAGGTAGTCAGTAAAAAGG